AAAATGCGGCATAAAATAGATGTGTTGTGCCATTCGTACCGCTGTTTTGATGAGTTGTGACATTCACTTTGGGAATCACATGAAAGTTAGAGCTGCTGGCGGTTTGCTCTGATAGTGTGAGTACTGGCCGGGGATATACACCTTTCGCGTGACACTCCAGCTCTCTGTCGCCTTTTGATACCTCCGTGTAATTGAAATCAAATGTTTGCGGCGGAACTGTAAGGCATAATAGGACGGCATATAAGTACAGAATATCAGAATTTATTATTATTTTTAGTTCATTTATTTTAGTTTTAATATTTGAGGTTAAATCAATTTTGAAATATATTTTGCCGAATAATAATAATAATAAGATAAAAATGTTATAATATATTTTTAAACAAAAAACTTTTGACATATATTATAGGGGTTTTTATAAGAAAAAACAAATATATTTTAAAATAGGAGATAGCAGTCATTCAATATTTGGTTTGAAAATGTAATTCAATGAAATGTAAAACTCAATAAATCTATAATAGATTTTATACGCATTTCCTTNTGACATATATTATAGGGGTTTTTATAAGAAAAAACAAATATATTTTAAAATAGGAGATAGCAGTCATTCAATATTTGGTTTGAAAATGTAATTCAATGAAATGTAAAACTCAATAAATCTATAATAGATTTTATACGCATTTCCTTTTTTGTTTGTATTAAAAAGTTTTCACTGAAAAACTTTTTTGCTTAAGAATTATTATATGAATTGTTTAAAACTTGTGTATTTCTAAACCCAGTGATGGAGACTAAGTATCATTTTTCACATATAAAAAGAAATGCTTTGAATGTTAAGTAGCTTTTTACAAAATAAACTTTACGAAAAATATAAAATAAATATAAATGGAAAAAATAAAATAAAAGAGAAAAATAATTAATTCTTAAGGAAGCGATTACTGTATTAAATGGGAAAGAGAGGCCAATATTTTAAATGAAAAAAGTTATGTAAGTATATATAAAGTGAACTCTTGGATACTAATCCTTATAAGACTGCATCCAAGGGTGTTATCTTGTATTTAGATATTGAATAAATTTTATATAGATAAATAAGTCTAGGTAAAAACAAAAAATTACAAATACATTCAAACAATTTGTTTAGAGTTTACAATAACTTTTATATAAAATTTTTATTTTTATATACTACTTTAAATATCTATAAATAACTAGAATTTGTCTTAAAAGTAAACCCTTGGCATGTCTTCCCATATCTCATGGTCTATACAATAGAGACAAATAATAGCCCGAAATAGATATATATTTTCATGCATTACTACTGTATATATTCTTTAGCGGAATAATGCGAATCCATTGGGAATTTTATTTATGAGACAATTATGGGTAGAGTAATGTGTTCATAGGCTAACCATAAACAACCATCTGTCCCTGTCTGCCGTCCTGCCCGGCCAATGACGTGACCACACACGAGAAATTGCCGTTTAAGTCGACAGTAATGTTATTCCGGAGTTTAAGGGCTCGAAACTTGGAGTATATGTCGTTTGGGTTGACGGAAAAGTTCATATCAAACCGTTGCCTCAATAACTCGCCTACATATCTGACTCCCCGGTCGGGAATCCACTGATATATAGGTTCGGGAGAGTTGTTGTGAAACCACTTGACGACAAGCATCAGGTCGTTGGCGTCGTAAACGTATTCACAGTCGAGGATCAGTTCGCTTGTGTTACTCGCGTCGACCATTCGTGGGATTGAATGCCGAAGTATTTTCACACATGAAGTATATAAGAGTCCTGTAAATGAGATATAAATTCTTGTAATGCATGAGAGAGAGAGAGAGAGAGAGAGAGAGACTAATGTAAACATAATGATCAGGAAAGTAAAGTATGTGTATAATAGTGAAAGGCTCGTTTTAAGGAAATGTAAGACATTTGGAAAGATTTGGTCACTAGTATTGAAAAGCAGTGTTGAGACGATTTCTATTTGTTTGTATCCAATAGTAATAGTATTTTTAAAGATAATAATGATATACGAGTCGAACACAAATACCTTAAGACTTAGATTCTGTATATTCCGTAGAAATACTGTGTATAATATAAATTCAAAAGGGACTCAAATAAAAGACAAAGAATTTATAAAATAAATAAATAAAACAAAAATAACTTTGTCGCTAATGTGATCCAAAATAAATAAATCAAAGAATTTTGATTTAATAAAATAAATGTTAACTTTTCCTTATAGTTAATATTTGTCTTAATGGATATGTGTATTAATATTAAAAATAGCATAAAAATAAAATCAATAACTTTTGGAGGACGATAATTATTTAAAATAATTTATGTGGCAAAGTAACAATAACCATAAATCAGACAAAATCTAAATAGAAATCATAAATTAGCGAAAGCTATAACTTTTAGCATTAAAAATAACAATTATGTTAATAAATATTTCAAATCATTAATTCATTTGTTGAGCAAAATTTTTCTGCAATAAATGCTGTGAATGAGTGGAATAAATGCAAAAATAATGGATTATTTTTATTAGTATTTCTTTTTGTTAACACAAAAAACTCTATTTATAATAACTTATTAAGAATTTTGTTTAAAGCATTTTAATGAGTTTTCATAAATTATATATTATATAAAATTATAATAAGCTAAAAAGCACAAATAATCATTATTTTTAACTAATTTAAATAATATGCATTTTGTTATTTAACAAATAAGTATTGTATGAAATGAAAATATTTATCATAGAAATTGTTACTAACATTATATTGATATTAACGAAAAATATGATAAAAGCTAATATTTTGTTCACAAATTACACTTAATTTTATCATAATGAAATGAATATAATTTTAAAGATATCTGCAAATGAATAATAATTATAAATATGTGTTGAAGTAATCATAAAATAACAATAAAAATAAATCACAAAAAGTATTTTCCGCAAAAAGATATATTAGAAGATAAGAGAGAATGAGAAGAATATGTCAAAAGTTAGGCTCAATTAGACGTCAAATTACAGCAACGATGAGAGGATAACAATATTTTTCGCATTAAAGATCTGTTATATGTGTGTATAATATATGAGTTATTTATGAAGAATGGTAATCACATTGGGATCAATTGTGATAAACAGATGCTGCAAATAATCTTTTGATGCAACACTACAATCGGGAAGACTAATACATTGGACCTTAAAAAATATATTAACTTTTTATATTATTATCTTCTTAATATCAGTGCAAAAAATCCTAAATGTTTTTATATTAAGTTTATTATAGATTAATTATTTTTATTAAAGTAAAATGATTACAAACTAATTACAAATATGTGGTTATAAAAAATCAGTTCAAATAAACAATAGATATTTAAGTCAAAACACTAGAAGATAATTTTTATGAGATACAAATGTTTTAGTATAACTGATAACCTGTGTTTAATAACTTATTTCCAGACTAACCGCATAAATCAAATATAAGATATAAAAAATTTATTATCCCTGTTATTTCCAAGAATGTCATGATTATTAGTAATTGAAAATCATATTTCTGTGGTAATTCTGTTTGAATTGTGAATTCAGTGGTTATGACGGACTGTATGTTTGAATGCAAATATCGCTCGAAGACATCACTCACTCTCAGGAATGATTGAAATAGACTTCAAGACTATTGAGACGATTGAACAGTTAGTTATTGATAGGATGGCACACAAAACCAGATACGAAACCAGGAAATCAAGTGTAGGCCAAAGCTCTAAGGATTTAGTACTCAGGATTACAGGCCAACCATTTCGGATGTAGTCCTTCAGCGAGTAGTGAAATGTTTGAACACTTGGAGTAGAAGTTGAGTTAAAAATGAGATATGAATGATAAGGAATACACCATTTGTGCGCTCAATAGCCAACTCATAGCCACAATAATATACACTGTATTTCTTATACTTAAATAAATTTTTCTATTTTTTAAGATTTCTCTCTTTTCACTACTCCTTGGAGTCTAAGAGTTTGCTTAATATGATATCGAAGTGAATGAAAATGTTTAGCCCTTAAAGCAATTTCGATTAGTTTATGTTGGCTTTGAATTTAAGGCTTTACTTATTCCTAACAAAGAATTTATTCCACAATTTATTCTTTCATTCAATATTCACACAACTCTTATAGATATACACGGAATGACTGATTACTGGAATATATTTTATTATTCGCACACAAAAAATTAAATTTGCGAATAATAATAGTTTTTCGGCTAAAAAGAGAGAGAAAAGTGTGATATTTTGCTATTGTGTCTGAAATGTGAAAATATTTTATCTTTTAGACTGTATAATAGATAATGTTTTGCGATATAAGACATACACAGAAGGCATACAATGAAAATGGATTAAAACCATTTGAAAGCGAAGTCTTCGCTGAAGAGAGTTATCAATCACTGAAAACTATTTGATTAGTTTTGCCAAACAATTCTGACATTTAGTGTCATATTTTTAGAAAACCCTATTATAACCGTATTATTCACGTCATACTATTTTTATCATAAAGAATTATTGTGGCGTTATTGATAAACTTTTTCAATTTACAGTAATTTGAATTTTATATAAATTTTAAATGTAATTAGACAGTTGCCTAAGGGAACGGTTACTTTCAGTATGGTGTGTTTTTATTGTGTATTTATAATATCATACTTTAAAACGTTATTTTATATACCTTATTGTATTAATATTAATAGTTCAGTGAATAAATAAAAAAGTTACAAAATGATGTTATTTAATAAATACAACAAATGTTGTGGTAAATGACTTAACTATTTTTATATTCTTATATATTTTTAGCATATGATAGGTAAATGAAATCAATATAAGTATTTTTCAAATCTATAAATAGTGTTAATATAACATTTATCGATTCTACAGTGGACTATATTTACTGTATATTCATATTGCCATTCGTTGACTAAATAATAAATAAATGTCTTAATTATTTAATAGATATACGGTAAATGAAAACAAAATGAAATTAAGTTATTACATAATGATCTAATTTTGTTTCATAAAATAAATATCACTTTAAAACCCTAATTAAGTTTTATAATAACTTCTTATATTTGTATTCAATAAAAAAATACTGTATTATTTGAAATATAATTTATAAATAGTATATAAATAGATTTTATACAATTAAATTGTGAGTAATATATCATGTAGAATTTATATAATGCAATTTATATATGATGTATATACATTTTCTATTATAATACTTTAGGTAAATTAAACAATAAATTAGAAAATATGTTCTAAAAGTTAAATGGTTTGTGAAAAAATTATTTTGCCATATATATTATATCATAATATATTAACTAGATTAAATATTTTGCAATATATATGAAACAATTTTTTAATTAAAATAATTGTTAATATATTAATGATAAGATAATATTTGGATTGATATCAAGAGTACAAAGTCATAATCAGCAATAAACTCATCAATGAATTAATTATACAAATATGTGGACAGTATGTTCAGTATAGAGTTGGCACACCTTTACGATAAATTTTTCAAAAGATAAAATAAAAGCCATTTAAATATTTGGATACCAAGGCGATTACCAATAAATAAATTGACTCATTATTTTATTTCCGTATTTCTTATATAACTTATGTTATATAATGTTATATTAAATATTTAAGCAAAATTCAGTCGACTGTAGAAATGATAGGCTTTATATTTACTGAAATTGAGTAAATCTTATCTTATCTTAAGTTTCTTGTGTTTTATTTTGTAAGAAATAACGTTAATATTTAAGTGAATCTGATTCCTGTTTTAGTTATTTATCAAATATATAACTTTTGAAAATTTAATCCTCTTTAAACATGATTAAACATTAATATTACTTTCATACTTGTAATCAATATTTAAAACTTTATTAACAATTGATAGAGCAACCAATTTTAATAATGAAATGAATATTTTACAATAACATGTAAAACAAATGCACTAGAATTTATTCACAGTAAACTAATTAACAAAATTTAAAACACCTGACATTATATAAATAATTTAAAATATTTTTAAACTCAAACTAATTAACAATACAGTATATGGTATACAGCAGAGACCTCAAAAGTGTTAAAAAACAAAAAATATGTAGAACATAATTTATTTATTTCATATAGATTATCTGTAGATAAAGCTCTTTACAGACACAAATATCATTACTATTTTTACTGTATTCAATTGATAGAGCAACCAATTTTAATAATGAAATGAATATTTTACAATAACATGTAAAACAAATGCACTAGAATTTATTCACAGTAAACTAATTAACAAAATTTAAAACACCTGACATTATATAAATAATTAAAAATATTTTAAAACTCAAACTAATTAACAATACAGTATATGGTATACAGGATAATATACCTAAAATACTTTTTAAGTATAATAAACTGATATTATAAGTATTATATTATAAGTTATTATATTATTATATTATATTATAATATTATATTATATTATAAGTATAATAATAAACTGATTAAATTCTATACACAGTATAGTGGTGTATACAAGAATTTATAAATAATTTAGCCATATTAGCATTTATTTGCATAAATATTATTAACTATAAATTATTAATGAGATAATTTAATTTTTTGCAAAAATGGTAAATTATTTCACTAATTCTATCATCACTTGATTTGTCTTCACTTAATATAATAATTCAGACAAC